GTAGATACAGTGTGTATATCCTGTTTAAAATACAAGGCAAGACTGCCGAGCCAAGATTCAATTTAACATTGCTTTAGGCTATAATAGGTCTTGAATTTTGGAAGCCAAGGAAGTGATGTACTGTATCAACATCTCCTGTAGTATAAGTTAAGCATTTTCTTACCTTTGGCACCGATTTTTAAATTGCCTCCTGAGCCAAGGAAGCAATAGAAGTAGGCAGAAAGAGAATATAAGATCACAGTTTATCTAAACACTGACCGAAATTTTTGGTGCATGTGTCTTCAAGTCAAGATATGCTCAAAATTTGCACTCCTGTAATGCTGGAAAAATTTGCTCTGTCCTTGCTATATTCAGCACACTAGATTTAAATGAACTACAGCTCTTTCCCCTCGATGTCCCACGACAATCGAGACTCAGAATTATTGAAAGAGGGTTCTGAAGATTAGCATAACTACTGAAAGTAATAGCAAGAAATTGCTCATCCTTGTACACTGCCCTGCTATAGGGTTCTTCTTAAGAAGTCTATAACATCACAAAAAAGTCGCAACAAATGTATTTAATAATAGCAAAAGTAATCTAATAAAATGATTTCATAAGCATTACATTTTAAAATAATACTTATATTTTACTTGTAATGTAATTATAATGATTGTATATAAATGTAAGAAATATACAAAGTTTCTATTAAACTACAAACATGTTTTAGAGCAATTAAGCTTACTAATGGTACTATTACAACATTACATGTGAGGTACAAGTACTCAACTCTTATTGTAATCTGTTAAAATTATATTATAAGTTATTTGTAACAATAGTTGATTAATTATAATAGTCATAAAAGTAATACATTGTACTTGTAAGTTAATTACAATACTTTTAGTACAATAATATGTAATTATATATATAAATATTGTTAACAATCACCCTGTTAGGCTTATAATATAATTTAGTTTTCTATTAAACTATATATCGAAGTGCTTACATAATCGAATACCGAAGATTGAGAGCATATAATGACACACTTGCTTAAAAACCATTTTGGCCTGACAAGCACATATAGTATCATGCCAGGGCAGACGACCTTTCTTGCATCAGGTCCGTTATTTTCCAATGTGAAGTTACAGAGAAAGCTGTTTGCAAAGTATAATAACTGGGAGGAAAGGAAAAATTGCCATAAATTCATGCTTACTTTCTTTCTACAGTAATTTGCATGCTTCTAGACTGGCTGCATACTAATTAGAACCATTTCTCTTTCAGATTTCCTCCAAAATGCTTGATTCATATGCTACTTCAAGTAATAAATTATTGCCTAACCTTAGTTTGCTGGCAAGTTTTAAGGGAAGACTATGAATCACTCATTTCTGAAAAGTATAGAAGCTATCTTTGTCCTTCATAATCTGCCTTCCTCCCCTTTCCTTATTCACATTGTGTGTGAATACATTACATCTTTACATACTGCAAACTATGTATTATCTTTTTTGTATAACTTTACTTTGCTCACAGTACATTATGTTACAGAAATTAATGTGTTGTCCTTGTACTATTACCCCTCATATTAGCTTATAGAATTTACCACAAAACCATCAAAGTTTCATAGTGACTTGTAGCAACTAATTCATTATCTTGTGGGAGTGATGGTGAAAACAGAAGTCAGAACTGTCTCATTGACTCAGCCTAAATAATGAGTTGCAAAGTTTCAAAATGCTTAAAGTCAATGAGGTCAAGTGAATTTTGCTGTCCAAGGACAAGATAAAGACCAGTTCTATTGTGTAGTGGCCTGCAACATAACCCACCTATTTACACTGTAACTAAACTGCATCATTAGAAGATATTGGATTAACCATAATGTCTGAAAGTACAAAGAAAGGTATGAATCCAACTTGTTTCCAATTATGCTGACTGACAAACTGATATAACATGAAATGAAAGACAATAAAAAACGGCATGTGAAACTTAAACATCTTGCTAAGATCATAGCTGCATTATCAAGCCAAGGAGAAAAGGAAATCCTACAGTCCCTAGAGAAGAAGATAGAGAAGTATTCAGAGTTAAAGGCTGCAGTTTATGAATTCCTTTATAAGATCAAGGAAAGAGAGAGCAATGAAGTACGAGTGTTTGACAGTGACTTCTGGGATAATGTCACAACAAGAATTGAACAAATTGATAGTATAAAAGACAAAGATCAAGCTATACAAGAAATGATGGCCTTTAATAAGGAAGTAACAAACAAATTTATATATGAAATAGAGATGCACATAAAAGTTCATCGGACTAAGGATGAGACAGAAGAAGCCAGTGAATGGGAAGAGTTACTTAACAGAATGGAAACGCATCATGGCAAATACACGTTATATAAAGGATAGAAAACCTAAAAGGTATCTAAGGGCAACAACATTGTTAATAATAGCACTACAATTAATAGTACTCTATTGAGATAACACATGATCTTAATACACATTTAAGCCTATAGACTCAGGATACAGCAGCTGAATAGTAAGCTGTTATAGACATAATGTAACATCTTATAGTTAAAATTCACTGTTGAATTACTTGAATACATTGTTAAAATGGAAGTGGTGTACATCTGCTTTGTGACCAGTGTTTACAGAATAGAGTTTAACTTTTTCATTTGGGACAGATTTTTTTTGGTGAGAATTCTCTTTCTATTATGACACTTTAGCTTTAAAGTGAGAGAGCTGAAAGAGAAATAAATATTTGCACTAGAGTGTAAATGCTAATCATACAGACTATAGCCACTCTCTTAAACACAAATTTCGTATACCCTTGCTTTTCTTACTTCCATAACTATTCTATAAAATTCATACACACACACTGCAGAGTACTATTGGTATTTGCTGTAAAAATTATATGAAGTTTGTATGAAATGAATCATTTATGGCAGGTTGTTTGGAACCATATTGATTTGATCTCACAATCAATTGCCTTGAAATTAAAGAATAATGCTCTAAAAACTTAAGAGAATTGACCATTAAATTTTTAAAAGAAAATATTGAAGATTGGGCGTGGAAATGTGTTGGGTTTATAGGTGTGGTTAGGTAATTGTCTATCTATAATACAATATGTTCCACAGCCGTGATCGACGCCAGTTGCACACTTGAATTACCACCCTCGTCCCATGTCTCCGTTCACTCCGCCTTATCCACCTTATGATCCCATAGACACAGATGGGTAAGTGAAGCAATACAAAACAATGTATCTAGAACTGACAGTTCAATAGATTCTCGTCAGTATACGTCTTCATTCCTTTTCATTCCTCAAAATGCATGTATAACGCCGATTCAGCTACGAAACCGTATCCAAACGATGGCCAGTAATCCTGACGAAGCTCATTGACCATATTCATCGCACCAATCATGAACTTACCGTTGCTGGAATGCAAGGTGGCAATGACGTCGAGAAAAACTGGGAGGAACGCGTCGAAGAGGGCAAAGTAATTATCGGAAAGGTTAGCAAGCTGAAGTATGAGATGGCAAGGGATAGGGAGTTACAGTACGTACGTTTCATTTTTCATCTCATAATAATAGGTTTAAGACGTTTTGTCTATCATAGGCCGGTTGAAGAGGATGAAGAGGCAGATGTGGATACATACAATCTCGAGCTCACAAAACTTGCAGAGAAAGGAATGAATGCCTGGTTCAAGGCACCATGGCTATATGCCGAGTAAGCGATCAAGGGCAAAGTTAACTTGACCTGTTCAACTTACTCTGATCAGATGTTATTTGTATCGCACCCTGCGCTCCTGGTTTAGTATAACGACACATTGGCGTTACTACGATCCGTTCCTCGCAGGAAAGGAGGATTCGTTTAAAGCATCATCAGCTGCAATATATAGTATGTATGTTAGAGTATACGTACTGTAAAGCAATAGGCTGATCCGTTGCAGAACTTGCAGCAACAATGCATGAGCTCGAAGAGACAGGGGCCGGACTTGAGAAAGACCCAGAGAAGTTGGCCGTACTCTTTAACGAGATGATCCAGATGTGCCTATGGGGAAATGCAACTGTGAGTAGTATTTTAACTCATTAAAATAATTGCACAAAAGATTTTAACTCCTCGATTGAAGGACCTGTCACTGTTGACTAATTTGACACACGAGGATATACTTAAACTGCAGAGTGTCGGGAAGGACGCTCAAGAAGAACGTAAAGAATACATTCTACATGACGACGAAAAGAATGCTTTTCAGTATCTGACAACTCTGCGCAATGCGAGGGTTGATTTAGTCTTAGACAATGGTATGTCGATTCGTCCTATCTTAGATACTCTGTTTGACCTGGTTGTATGCCTAAGCTGGATTCGAGGTGCGCACTCGCGCTTACTAAAGTCGACTTAATGGATCACCTCTAATTGTGGAGTTTAGCTCTTCACAGATCTTGTTTTTGCGGATTTCCTTGTCACATTTACACCATACGTGTCGAAAGTTGTATTCCAGTGCGTATCCTCTTATATCCTACACACATCCTATGATACCATGACGTGAATCATCTTTGTTATCCAGTCCTAAATCAATTCCGTGGTTTGTCTCGGACGTGACGCCACCAGATTTCATCGCACTCTTTTCCTCTCTCAAGTCCGAAACGTTCTTCCTTGAGGATGCCCCTTCCGAGTCTTCACGTTCTCAACTCTCTATTCTCCTTCAACGCTGGGAGAAATATATTGCTATTGGTGCGTTTGAATTGAGCATACCGATGGAGACGAAGTTGGGTGAAAAAAACGCCATGATTGACTTTTGGACGAGCCCATATCCGTATTGGGATATGAGTGAGAAGGCTCCTGTGTTGTTTGAGAGTTTGAAAAAGAGTGGGCTTGTTATCTTGAAGGTATGCCCTGTGTACGTTATGATGAAAAGTAATGGCGATGCTGAAGGACAAATAGGGTGATTTGAAGTGAGTGCGATCCATCATTAACGCTCAACGCAACGTCTAATGCTCGACTGTTACCCAAGCTATAGAAAGTAAGTCATTACATTGCTAGCCCTCTAAAAAGGAGTCTGATGTTTTGCTATTTAGGTTGACTGGTGATGTCAAGTGGCCAGCGTCGACGCCAGTAAGCGAAGCAATAGGTACTGGTCCATTATTACCCATACTGTGTGATGATCCCGGCGTATTAATCTTGTCTGAAACTTGTTCTCATACAGGCCCGTTATCAGGCGCCTTCCCAACCCTTAGTCTACGTACGAGCAAAGCAGATGTGGTCGTTGGCGTGGACCAGGCCAAGGCAGATGCACTTGACGCGAGCGGTGAGAAGTGGAGGGTGAATGGAAAGTAAGAATTTCCTTTCTCACCTCATTTACCGTGTCTCATGAAAATCTTGTCTGATCGTATTGATGGGTAGGTATGCAATGATTTCATTCGTGCCAAAAGAAGGCGCATAATTAATAGTAACAGGCAGCATATAAGAAATGTACACAAATAAAGATTTAGATAGATATTTCCCACACCGGGTCCGGAGCTTGGCGCAGTCGGTAATTGATACAGTCCTTTTCTTTCGGAATCAGTTCGGCCCCAATGCTTCTAGTCTTACTGGAATATCTTGGTCTGCGCCTTCATAACAAGGAATAAGTATATATTGCGACTCCACTTCGCATTCGCACACCCTTTTGTGTGCGCTCCAATTCAGCCCCCTCTGCCTTCTCTAATCTACTATACCATGATCCCTCTTTGCCAATTTTTTATTCCTCCACAACCACTTAATATTTTGACTTGAAAATTTGCATATATGTATATCAGAGCATAATAAAGCAGTTTATCTTTTCAAAATAATTTTTACGATTTTTTATGAGCTGTAGAGGGATGCGATCCCTCTTTGCCAATTTTGTCACATTCTGTCACAGAAATTTGGCTCTGGCAAGACGCAGCACAAGCTCTGGGAATCTGTCACTTTTGTCACTCTCAAAACAATCTTTACTCAATTTTAATTTACAACCACCATTAAATCTCTCAAGAAAAAATAATATAAGTACTTGTGTATAAATTATATACATGTGTAGTAATATCAACTTATTAACTTGATTA